AGTAAATAAATTGGAATTATTTGTTTTTTTTCTATAGATTTAAGCACACAATGAGTTATATTCTATATTTTATTCTTACATAAACTGCTAAAAAGCAGTGGCTTTGTGATAAATCTGTGTCTTTAATACTGTAAATTTGTACATTTTTGTCAATAACAACCTTTAAAAAGGCTTTACAACATAGATTTTTCAGATATTTCACCAATATGAAGGCCTGATCAGTCTAGGCTAAGCGTAATTTTTCAGGGAACTCTGTTCTGGCAGAGGGTCGAAATTTGCACATAATTTAGGTTGCCAGCATTCGTCATAGGATGCGGGATAAAGAAAGGGCAGAAAATGGAAAGGGTCACACTCAAAGGACAAAACCCGCTTTGTGAGTTTCTCCCGTCTCTTCTCTTTTAGCGAATCCCCATCTTCAAGTATGTTGAGAATCCCCCGAAGAATGCTGTCCTGATTGGCATCACTGGGAAATGGATAAGCCTCATCTCTCGTCCCTTTTCTCGCATCTGTGGTTCTCCTGGTAGCCCGGCTGTTCAGCACGTGAATATCCTTGCGGAGTCTCTTCTGTTCGTGCAGCATCTTATCGATTTTCCACGGTGAGCACTTCAAGACGGATGAATAGAGTCTCCTTCTTTTGGACCAATTCACGTCATTCTTCCGGCCTGAACTGTCATTCGCCGAACTCTTTTTGTGTGACATCGTAAATTTGGCGTCTCTCTTTTGCGGTCTGTAGATGTCTGGAAATTAAATTTGACACGCATTGCAAATGTGGCAGTATATGCCTCGGTTTATGTGCAATATTTCTGGCTCACCAGCAAAGAGGGAGAAAGACGGATCTAAAATTGGGACTCGGCAGTTAATTTGAGAGGGTTTGAGTGCGAGTTGGGGAAAAAGGCAATTTAAAGCGCCAAGTAAATCACCTCTGTTCAGAATCTTAATCCCACTTAATCTGCCATCTGAGCTGGAGTTTAGTCTATTGGGCGACAGATGAGAATATGTATGAAGCTTTAGATGACATTTAAGCTTATTGCCAGACAGAGTTTCTTCACCTTTGCGCCTCACTCGAGAGATTCTTCATCGCGGAGTTGAGAATAATCTTTGAACTACTCCTCAATTTGCTTGCCTTGCACATCTGCACGCCCTCAGACTTTCTGTTCGCGCCCCGCGGAATCCGATCTCTCGTGCTGATTGTGCCGTCTTTGAGCCTTTCAATGGGAATTCAAATGAAGCAAAAGTGCTCAAGACATCTCTTGAAAGCACTCACCTTATCCTCAGACCATCACCACTCATATTGTGCGATGTGAAAGTCACTCGCCGATCGATACGACTACCAGCTTTCCTCAGCACTTTTCTCTGTCGCCTTTTCAATTCCTGAACTTTTTTGTTTTTCTCCTCTTCTCGCCTCTCCGTGAGATTTTTATCTCATTGCCTTCAACGTTATGAGATCGATGAACAATATTTATTCCCGAGAACGGTTTCTATGTTTAGACGCGAAAAATGTATAATATGGTTTTACTCTTCGCATGAGTTTATTTTCAAGATTACTAAACATGGTGAAATAATGTAGAAATAATATTTTGAAGGTGACGTATATTATACACATAAATATCACAGTTGAAACAACACTTTTTGCGTGAGTACGGAAAATAACAAGACGCAAAATTTAGTTTTAGGCGGTTTGTGAAATTTGATCGTGTTTTTCAAATATAATTTCAAAACAAGTTGGTTTATCCAGATTCTAAGTTTAATTTACATGAAAAATCTTTAATTGAAAATTACAATTTAGTTATTGGATTGAAGTGAATTATTGTGCCATTGATACTGTATTATTTTGCTGAAAAGAGAACAAGAGATCTGATTGCCTTATGGCTGATTGAGAGATATATCCAACAAAGCCACATGATCACTATTATTCCATCTGGCAGCTAATCATGCGGTGAATTGGAATTGAAAAGGAATCTGGCGATCACATTTCAATCTGGAGGGTGCTTTCTAATCGCAGACTTTTATCGTGGCACTGATTTTGCCTTTCAAATGATTCTCATTCACCACTCGGACATACAGACTTTATCTCAAGCTAAAAATAATTGAAATTCTCTCTGTGTTGCCATGCCGAACGAGAACAAAAAGATAATGATATTCCGCCTTTGTACGCAAAGGAGGAATATGCAATATAATGCAAATGTTGTGAGTTTATTGTATTGTGTGCGTTTTACATCAGCAATATCGCGTTTCACCCCTATAATGGAGCCCTCAGGTTGTAAAAAAGAATGTAAGAGAGCTTTATGAAGATAGGCGGGAAAATAAATGAAGAACGTGCTAAACCTCGAGTACGCGCACTTCTATAGCTCACACGCCCTTTCACTGTTTCCATAAATCAGCCCTATCATTTCTTATCTGATGAGAAATCAACCCTGGTCCAAAACGACAATTGACCCTTTGCAGCTGCACTGGCCGATAGTGCCACAGCCAGAAATGGAGTCAAATCCGTGCTTAACTTTATCGCAGTGACAATTCGCTGCGGAAGTCTGACGCCCACAAAATAGATCTGCACACGAGATTTCAGTCTCTGCACTGTTAGAAAGAAAGCGACAAATATGAGAGGTCGGATGGTGTAATTTAAACCACAATAGGGTGAACTCTACTTGATTCATTCTAGACTAGGTTTATAGGAAAATTACTATATAAGCAATTTTATTTTTAAGAGCAAAACAGAACTATTTTACTTAATGAGTTGTTCAGATTAAGAGAGAAATTATTGACTATTTCCGTAATGTTTGATTTTTTCATACTAAATACTTCGAGTTAACAAAAACTATAATTCCTTAGTTTAAAAAACTAGATTGGTTTTTTAGAAAAAAAAGAAAAGAAGGATTATATTTTCTTTCCTAAAATGTGTTTATTTTCGTGATTTGAGCAAAAATTTGATTTTATAACCCTTTAAAAATTCCGAAATAAACCGATGATCTAATAAGATTTTTCTGAGCTTTGAGGTAAAAGTTTTCTAGGTCAAAAAGGTTAGAAAATTATTTTAATTGAAATAGTCAAAAATCAAAAAATTATCTTGTTTATATGTACGTTTTTAAATATTTTAAAAATATAAATTTAACATTTTTTCATCTTAAAACTGTATGAAATCACAATGTTCAATTTGACTCTTCTTCCTTTTTATGCGTACATGATAAAAAAGAATAAATGTGAATATGTTTTCTCCCGCTCATCGTAATCTACATTTATGGACGAGGGCGTAAAAGGGCCAAAAGAACGAACATAATCCCTTAGGCTTCAGGATATCTCAGGGTCGTGTCAGTGGGAAAATCGATGCATTTACCCTGTCTCGGAAATCCCTCGAGAATCTCATTTTGGGTCGGAAGGCTGAGCTGTATTGTACAGAAAAGTTGGCCCGCACTTAATTGGACTCTGCCAACATTATATGGTTTATGATCTTTTCCGGTGGCTGGAGTTTCAGGAATTCTCAATGCCACACCCTAATTTAACCTATGATCCTCGACTCATAAATCAATGCTACCTTTTTATTTTTCCCGTTTTTCCTATCACATATTCAATAGAGAGGGATGCGATGAGCCCCTAGCTTTATTTCTATTATTATTACTCTGAGGCGAAATTATATTTTACGATTCTGTTTCGGCGATGAATTCAATTGTGGTTTTCGTAATTTGCATTGGAAAATTGTTGAAGTGAAAGTTTTGAATTGAATGCAACTTTGAAAGTTCCTTTTTCAACCCTTTATTTTTTGCAGTAAAAAGAGCGACTATTAACAAAGTTAAGACTTCTATTGAATGCACAGCATTCCATCCTAGTATGGGGTAATTTATGGGTGCGGCGATAAACTATATATCTGGAAGTGAATCTCTAAAAAACCAACCCTCTCGTCTGTTTTTTAACACAAACCCCAAGGCATTTCGAACGTATTGTTTTGCTCACGTTTTCAAACTACGTCGAATCGGTCCTCTCCTGACATTCTATTGAGGTCTAATTAGAGGCGTGCGATTCTCGAATCAACAGAGAGGGTGAATTTGATTCAGAACACCCTCTATTGTGACGCGCGTCCCTTGATGTCTGTTCCAGCATCTCCAATTTCGAGGGTAGCTTGAAATATGGTTCCATTCCACAGTGACCATGTCCGAAAATTTGCGCCTTGTCCAGGGATAGGCGAGGTCCTAGGGCGGATATTATATATTTTTTTGCACATCTAATCCAGGCAATATATCACAGGCTCTCCCTTCACTTTGACCCCTTTCAGAAAAGCGCAATTCCGCAACCCATCGAATTTACATTAGGGATTACTGAACCGCCAACATCCGTAGGGTGACTTCTTAGGCTGACGTTCGTAACTTCCCGTAGTCCAATAAGACTCTTCATCTGGGGCCTCGTGTGTCACTCCATGTTCAACACTTTGTGATATTTGATTGATTAAACACGCGCAGCTTGTCTCGTCAGACATTAAATTCAAAATATCGAAAGATAGAAATGTTGAAAATTGTATTATTTATACTTATGTCTTAAATCCCATGAAGATTGAAACCCAAGATGGATATTATGGTTGATAGTCGTGTATATTTTATTAGAAATACGAGAAGGTGTCGAAAATAGAATTTATATTATGATTGAGAAATCAACGCAAAATAGGCAAACTGGTGTACAGATATTAGTCAGAATTGTCTCTCCTTTGCGACAACTTGATGACGTGTGAGTATGCTCAGGTGTTGTGCTTACAGGCCTTCTTCGATCCACTAACTCACCTCCAATTTTGATTAATAATAAAATACCATGTCAAGGTGATCTTCCTATCAATGCTGATTTTCAAGGCGATTGTACCTGATTTTTAAATAATTCTACTTCAATTTTGAAATGCAACAAATAGATTGTGCTGCAATGTTCGTCGATAGATGTCTCTAGCTTTGGGTTTGCGCCTCAGATAGACTCTGGCGACTTTCACCTGTGAGTGAGTAGCGGCATTTTTGATACAGTTCATGTATTTTGACGTTCTCCTTTTCCGCATTTCACAACACGCAGTGATGTGACTTTCGGTGTGAAAATATGTTTGGTAACATTCGCAAGAAGCTCAATTCTGTGATCCAGGAGGGCCTCAGCATCTCGGAGAACATCTCCAGCCACTACATCAAGCCATCGAGCCCGAAGACTCCGCAGTCGCCGGCGACGCCCACGGGCAGTCCGGCAGTCGTCGCCAGTCCTCAGGCTGTGCCGCCGTTCATCAACCTCTACGCCGGATGCGATCTGCTGGCCATCAACGAGCGCCAGTGGAGCGAAATCAGGGACCTGAACGAGCAGAACGCCAAGAAGGCGAGCGAGATTGATGGCAGTATTTTGGAGCTCAAGGATCGCACTGAGCGCACTCTGACCACCGTTCAGGACCTGAATGTGACTCTGGCGGCACTGCCCGTGGTCGTGACGACCCTCAATGGGTGTGTGGATGTGATAAGAGACGTGGGGGCGAAGTGCGAGACGCTGGAGAAGAAGATGATGGAACTGGAGGATCTTCTGGAGGTCCTGGAACTGCAGGAGAAGCAATTGGATCATCGCTTTGAGATGGCAATGTACAAGGAGAAGAAACTTGGTGAGAATTAAGCATACAATTTACCTTAATTACTGCAGAATCTTAATCTGTTATCAATTTCCAGGTGCTCTTGAGAAAGTCAGGGAAGAGCTGGCAAAGAAACATTCTGATAATGTCATGAAGCACGAGCTGAAGATGAGAAAAGTTCAGCAGGAGCGCCAGAGTGTGTTTCAGGATGCATTCCAAGATGACATGAAGTTTTACAGGGAGCAAGGCACTATTCCAAGTATGAGCTTCTTTCCAATTAATCTTCAGTATCCTTTCACGCCTTTTTGGGCTAGGAAACCATCAATTTCTCGGTCTTGTGTACTTCCAGAGGTGGAGACGAAGGCGGCGGAGAGGAAGCTGTCGCTAGAGGAAGTGGAGCTGGATGATACGGACACAAAGGACGCATTGGATGAGTTCCTCAACAATTGACCAAGTCAATTCTCGACATCTCTCCAAAGTGCCATGCCCGGAAGTCCGTTTCTCGCAACCGGAAGAGAGGAAAAACTGCCTGAACTGTTGATTTAACTGAAAGTTGGTGCCTTGTTGACTTTTGCACAATGAAAATCCGATGAGAAATGAAGATTTATGATTGTTTTTAAATATCGATTTATTTCTTCAATAACATCTTTGGTGTCACAACAAGGATTTTTCGTGGTTTCGCTTTCTAGGTTTTTTTTTCATCACCATCCTAAATAAATGCTCAATGATGACAGAAATACGAGGATTCGACAATTCTCCCATCTTTACACTCTTGATTAAACAGACGATAAGTATTTTTTTTCTCTTAGCTTTAGGTTTTACACTCTGTCCTCAAATTTATCCTCTCTCACTCAGCATCCAAATCTAGCCGAATTGAAGGTTTTATGTACATTTTATTGATGCCTTTTCCATTTCTTCAAGTAACATTTAACATATAAACAGCTTTACGGCCACCTCCTTGTCACGAGGGTTGGATTTAATTGAGAGAACACCTCTTCAATGCCTCAATCTTCATCAATTTGATATGGCGGAACGGACACTCACTTCAAATACATTTCTGAGAAATAATTTCTGGGGAAAACCTGGTAAAAATGTCTCAATCATAAGGTTGAATATCTACTATCATTTCACATTTCTGGTTTTATGTTAAAAATTTATCTTAATTCTTTTTTACGTAAATTAGGCACACAATTCTCATATATTTTTTTTTAATCTCATTAACACTAAATACTTCATGGGATTTCCTCAACTCTTTTTTACGGAACGACGGAGGGCTAGACTGAGCAACCTATGTATAGACTTTGCAAAGTGAAGAGACATGTAAAAGCTTAATACCCTTGGCTTAAGTTCGCTCTTGTCTTGTTCGGCTTTTCCACACGAGACACAGAGGTGAAAAGTTTGAATGGTCGTGTTGGCTTTTGTCTTATTCATACTCGAAAATTAATCTAAAATCACAATAATCGACAGTCTGGCGAAAATGATGTGGAAGGACAAAACGGAAACTTATTGTTTGAATGTGAAGAGCCCGGTTGGGTCCCATTCATCCTTTTCCGGTGGTCCAAACATTTCGTCGAAGTAATCCTCCATTGTCTTATAAACGTGGTACAGCACACCATCGAGACCGTGATCCTCGTCCGTGTAGATCTGCAGACGTGGAAGAGAGAGAGTTAGGAATGACATTGAGTGCTGTGACTAGCCTAGGCTACCTGATGTCTGAACGAAATGCCCTGCTCTATGAGCTCTCTGGCGAAGATCAGTGAGTGCTGCTGATGGACGAGTGTGTCCGCTGTTCCGTGGATTAGAAGGAAGTTTCTGGACTCCATGTGCTGAACCCTGGACATCAGATCAGACTCTTGCAGAGATCGAAGGTAGTTCTCATTCTGTGGAATGAATCTCTCGGTGAAGTATGAATCTGCAAGAGAGCAAGAAGGAGAATTTGACGCTCTGCTGTAAATCTTAGCCACAATTCTAGATCTTACTGTGATATGCAAATGACACAATGGGATTCACTGCGACTGAGCACTGCAGCACTCGCTGGGAGTCCTCCAGGAGAGCGCTGGCCGAGGCGTATCCGCCATAGCCCCAGCCGTAGGAGCAGATCTTGCGTCGGTCGATGAAGGGAAATGTGTCTCGAATGTACATGAGTACTGCCAATTGATCGTCCACCTCGTAGTTTCCCAGGTGTCCTATAATCTCAGATCTCAGCTTCTCCCCGCGGAAGCCACTGCCTCTGCCGTCGATTTGAGCCACGATCATCTGCAGTTTGCTCGGCAGATACCAATTCCAATCCACGCTGTACTCCTCAGTGACCAACTGGTTGCCTGGTTCTGCGTCCACGTGGAGAATGAGCGGGAAAGCCACTTCCTCGCCATCGCGCATGCCGGGTGGAATGAATAGACGCACTTGAGCGATGGATCCATCCTTCATCTCCACGCTAAGAGTGCGAATCTGGGGCAGAGCCAACTCCTCGAGACGCTCACGAAGCTCAGATCCATCGTGCAAGATGAAAACCTTGAGATTCGACCGAGTGTCCACAATGTAGGTCGATGGAGAGTCCGGTCCGAGACACTCCTGAATGTAGTACGTAAAGTCTTTACTCAAGTAAATTTTGTTGTAGAGACAGTTGTTGGGAACTTCGAACTCCTCCTCATCAAATGTATCATTTACGGAGAACATCTTGAACGTGTCCGGATGGAATGTAGCTTTGGTGTTGATGCACGTGAGGCAGAGCGGAGCGGATGTGGTCACGTAGACTCTGTTGGGTCGCTCTGTGAAGTTGAGCTTCAAGTCAATTCGGTAGAGATGCCTCTGGCCAGGGGAATGTTCGGGCGCCGCCATGAAGTACACCAGTCCGCGATCTTCATCCCAACCCAGAATCTCAGTGACCTCGAAGCGACCCATCGTGAGCGGAATGGTCCTGGCATCAGTCGTGGACACGAACACCACGTGCCTGAAGTGTCCATACTCTCCATCCCGAACAGGCAGGCGCTTGAGAACATATCCTCCGGTTTCAAACTCAAACTTCGCAGTGTCTGTCTTGTTGGCATCCGTGGCGTTCGCTTCTGCTGCTTGACTCGTTGTCTCAGGAATGGCAGTCGAAACCGGAGTGTCAGCAGTTGGCTTGAACTTGGTTCGCATCCGAGAGTAGATCGGGCGATCCGTGGGCAAGACTGTGATGTTCTCTACGCTGAACTCGGTGTAGATTTCGCGGCAGACGAAGTTGGGGGCTCTGCAGAGGACAGTCATGGCATAGGTTTGCTGCCTATTCGTAAAGGTGATTGAGAGATCTGTTGCTGAAGCCCATTTCATCCCTCCAACATAGCTTGTGTTGGCTGCAACATTGCTCGGTAGGCGTACAGGTTGAGGGAAGATAAACTTGAGCACGGACAGGTTTACCACATAAACCGTCACAACGGGATTGTCGGTGTTCGCTTTGGGGTAGCGAATCGACCGGACTTCAGGGTATCTAAAGCTCTCACCAACATAAGTGTATCTGGAGTTGGAAAGAAGACTCAATATTAATATGAAATCAATTTGGTAGAGATGTCAGGTTGTTACCGATATTCCTTGACTTGCGTGTCGTTGAAAGAGAGGAACGAAAGGTAGAGACCATCAGGTGAGAAAGCGACAGCGTCACTCTTCAGATCTGATATATTGGAGTACAGCCAGTTGGGAATGCCGTTGTAGATGACTCCCTTTTTGCCTGAAATTTAAATCGACATTTTATGTTGTGGCAAACTAAGAACTCCTAAAAATATTCCTTAACACTTCGTCTATTTTTACGTGAAAATTCACAGCTCATCAACATGTTTCTAGGCTTCAATTGCGCCCATTTGTAAATGTATCACTGCACATTCAACTAGTTCATTCAATTATAGCGATAATCGTTGGGGCATTTGGAAGTCTGCCAACTCTCACCCGTGGTGGTGATGCGGCACACCAAGTCACCCTGAACCTTGGGCTTGTAGTACAAGTCGTTGTCGAAAACGAAAGCTATGGCCTGGCTGATCTGGGATGCGGACAGCGGCTTGGCGCTGGCATTCTCAGCTGCCGAGGCGTTCGTGGGGGTCGCTCGAGGAGGTCCTCTCGGCGCCCAGAGGATGTGCTGCAGCCTGGGCGCGTCCCTGGCCTCGTCCCGCGGCGATAGTGGGTAGGCATTGGAAGTTGCTACCTCGAACACGTGCACCCTCGCGCCCTCCCACGTTTCATCCGACAACAGAAGCACGTAATTGAGGTCCGGCGATACCAGGAATTTCTTCGCATCCAGCTGTCTCTGCGGAGATAGCGAGAGTGAGAGATATCCCTCGCCTTTTCCCTATGGTAAATACTTACAAATGAGGAATTTGTCATGAGGCTCCGCACAGAGAAGGTCTCCATGTCGAGAATGGACAATCCTCCGGCGACATCACGATATACCAATTCCGTGTCTGTGGATTAGGAGAAAAGGGGTGGGTGAGAAAGGATGACCCCTGTGTTGGGAGACTCCCTAAATTAATTTCGAGAGTCACTCTAATCCAGGCAGTTCGGAAATCTCCGGGCAGAGGACAAATTCCCTTAATGGGGTATGGCAAAGGGTTCTTTCGTGACTGCTTAATTTTCATGTAATTCATCAAAGTTTTAGGGCTCATTCGAAAGCACTTTTTACTATCTTTTTTTCCATAAATTTGTCACTGAAAGCATATTGGGTTTTTATACCCACAAGCAATTAGGCCATAATTAAGAGTCCATTATTATTGTATAGTAACATTTGATGTTGCAACATTAATAATTCATTTAGCGAGAGTAAAATATTTTCATGTAATATGGCGAAATGCTATAAGGTTTAGTATAATAATAATAACATTTGCACAGGGACAAAATGAAAATTCATTTTTCACGAATTTTTCATAAAAAATTGACGACAGAATTTCCCTCGGAATCCATGGAGGTAAACAACTTCAAACGACCACGTAATTTTATACACAAAGTCCCTAATGTATCTTCCGTGCTGCTCGTGAGCCGAGTCGAGCTTCCTCAGCAAATGCGGAAAGGTCCATCTCTGCAAATAGCCCGGTATTAGGAATGCTGTGGGCGGAGTGAGAATAAAAAACAAGTCAGACATAAAAAAGCTCGAGAGACACTCAAGCGACGCCACAGTTGTCTGCAGTATCGCCCAGGGACTCTTCGTCGGAGCGAGAATTGAAGATTTCACTCTCAAACCCATCAATTCTCAAGTATTCACACCACTTTTTGACTCGGGCCGCCTCCAAGGCGTGCCACTTGAAATCCTTGGGCGAAATCCACCACATTAATTCGTGGGATTGTTTCGCCAACAGTGCTGAATAAATTTGCCAAATGACGCCTCAGCCCAGCGATTTGCATGTTCAGTCCTTTGGAATTCCCAAGGAGCTGAGAAGGCACCTGCCATCGGTGTTTACATATGGGGAGAGATTTAAATTGAGGCATCTGCTGCCAAAAGTACACCACTCAAGTGACAACAACCCAGCTTGTCGATTTGCAAACCCACCCCCAGCAGAGTCGTGTCACCCTCGAGGGAGCCCCAAATATTACAGTAATTCCGTATATCACATGCTCGGATGCCGCAAATTAGAGCGAGAAACCTTTATCCAAGCGAAATTCCTGACCTGAAATGCTAGATGGTGTTTCATACATAAAGCAACAGCGAGATATTACTCTCATTAGAGTGAATTCGACAGTCATTATTGGTGATTATCTCCGTTGCATAGAAAATTTCGAGCAGCGCGGATAATTTTGCAAGTGTATTTTTGTGAAAAATCCATTTGACCCACTAATCGAGGAGCTTATCGAACACTCTATGCTGAAAACATACACAGATATGTAAATACTTATGTATATTATACCAACGCTGAAAGTTTTCCTTGAACAAACACAGAATAACTACTAATTTTCATGTATTTAAACTTCCTGATGAAGAAGTGAGCTTTATCGAAAATTGTCAAAGTAAAAGTTTTCCATAGTTAAATAATTCATTAAAGTGAGCAAATTGAGAAGAACTTTTACTTCCACATTGACTTTTGCGAAAAAACACAAATCAAGACATTCTTCAGCATTGCGGATGAATTGACTGTGAGCGAAGGGAAAAGCGAAGAAAAACCGTGGGATGGACTTGACTCTTTGCATGGCCATAGTGATTAATTAATCAATCGACCCACGTGAAAATCAATAGTGACATTCGTTGGCGGTGAGAAAAGAACTGTTGTGCGATACGCAATGATTTCCTTCATTCTCGATTATCGTGATTAAACTTAGCTTTAGCGACCATTAAGGAGTCTCGGCAGAGCTTATCAGATTTAGGTTTCCTCGCAAGTTCTGGGGCCGGTAATCTGTCGTGAAATATATCGAAGCATGACGCGGCGCGGTGGAAATGGCTTGAGCCAATTGTCCAATTCATATTCATAACAAACGCACACTTTGGAGCGCCGCTATTAATCAAAAGGGGGTTTGCGATTTATCTTCGTCGTCAGATCATGAAATTAATGAGATTTGACGACTATGTGGAGGAATCTCGAGCTGAACTCGGCCGTGTGTGGGATCCACACCTGCCAAGAGAGGAAGAGAAATAGAGTCTGCCTTTCCTCTTCCCCGAAATTGCGCCCTCATTAGGAATTCCTCCTTCGTACCGCCACTCCCACTACTTTGAATCAATCAATCAAATTCAGTGGAAGTTTCCTTCTCGGCGAGTTAAATTGGGAAACTTTCCACTGTGCGGCTCTCGCCTTTTGCACAAAAAACATTCCATCACTCGACAAACAGATCTGCAATCCTCACCAAAACGTCTTCGCAATGTCCTCCTGCCCATTTCCAGTGCGCCAATATTTATTTCAATCCCCCACGAGAACCCCGTGGCGAAGATGATGATGATGATGTGTAGCTATGGAAACCCCTTTTCTATTGATTATTCTGTATACATTTTATCTCACTGGATCTGCGTCTCCCATTCGGATATCTCAGTCGCCGCCATGGTCACACAATCTCGGCCAAAACGCCAAATGCGAGGCACTTGCGAACTGGGGATTCACGATTAAAGTTGCATGAGAAGTTGCGGGCCAAACTTTTCAAGTGTGGGTTTCGAATACAGCTGCGCGATTGACAACATTGGCCTTCTGGCAATTCATATATTAATTCATTGTTTCACGAGAAAAGAAAACTCAATATTTTAAAACATTTCAAACAGTTAAATTTCAGCAAAGTTTGTGCTATTCACCTGGCTGAGATCTTAGCGAAAGAAAGCGAGAGAATTAGATTTTCAAATCTAAACTTTGAAATCTTTGCAGTTTGTGTTTGCTGAGTTGATTGATTGATTTTCAATAAACTGTATGTAAATAAATAAGTCGAAATTGAGTTAAAAAAAAGCTTATATATTGCTATGCTTTTACCTGGCGTCTCCACTGAAAATAATTAAATCTAAATAATATCACTTTTGAATTCATTTAACACTTTGTTTGATGTGTTTTTTTTCCCAAAAACCCATTAAATATGCCCAAAAGTCACGCTTCATCAACATTGCATATGAAATTTCACACTCATAACGTGGAAAATTCTCCATATTTCACCTTATTCGCTTGATATGGAAATTTAATTGCACAAAATTGCACCTTGTCAGACTATTAATAGCTTGTGTGAAACTCAATGTGCAGATGGGACAAAGCGACGTAAAGTGAAAGAGATGCTTTTCAAATGGCTCAACAAATTGATCCTTTGAAGTGTAGATATTTGCTCGATAAAGTGATTAAAATCAAACAGTGCGTCATGAAACACGCTCAACAGATACAATCACGTAAGAATCTGTTTTCCCCGTTTTGACGCCTTTTTCGCTCAAAAACTAATTACCGGCATTTACGGATATGTAGAAAAAACCGCGGAAATTCATTTCGGTCCAGCGTATCGATGCTCCCCAATCAATTTTAGGGGAGAATTCAAATGGATGAAAATCCCTCACATCCACATTATTCACTCCAGTGACTCCCGAAATGGCTTTTTTTGATTGACGTGATGAAATTTTACTATGAAATTGACCAGAATCCATTTCAGCACCTAAAGTAATCCTCTTTCCCTCGCAAATGAAACATTGCTATGTGAATTAGAGTTTTGTGAAAGAACACCCTTTGATAGTTCTGTACAGCACTTCAAGTAATGGCTTTTGACAGTGAATGAGTGCCTTTGGAAAAGTGACAAAAAATCCTTGGATTCAAAAACATATTAATCATGGGTCAATTCATTTCCAAACAGCTTTCAACTATGTAAATCTGTCTCTTCTCTCCGCCATAGAAACTCGCAATTTATGTGGCAGAAAGTCTGGGCTGCGCCATGAAAAAGATATCCTTCAGCGGCCTTAACATGCGATGGTTCAATCGTTTTATCATTTGGACCGACCCACAAGGAAATTTCATGTTCGCCAGCACGGCTGCCAAATCACTTTTTTCCTGTGTTTAGAATAAAAGTATAGAGGAGGAAACTTAGACACTGCCATGTCTTACTGCCGAGGAAGCGACGTTAATTGAGGACTCAATACGTTGCAATGGAGGCGCCAGGTGGAAGAATACGCTTACGAATAATTTATGTTATGTATGCTATGGAGTATATTTTAGAAGCCTCTTCTTTACATGTATCATGAATGTGTTAAGCACTAAATGATGATTCTCTAGTCTGATTTTTTTATGTGCCCTGCTTTTTCTTACAGCATTTCAAATTGGCAAGAAGTGCTTATTTTTCTGCTTGTTTATCATTTGTCGGGCTATCATTAAAGCTCACGAGTCGAGCTTTAAAGCTCATCACTGGACCATTGTGTGCGATTGTGCCTTTTCGTGTTCCAAAAATAGACAAGTGATTCCATGGCGTGTGACTCTATTAAGCGAAGGAATTGGAGTGGAGCGTCAAATTGCAGGGTGGGTTGTAGTTCATAGTCACTGTAAATGGATTACTCTGGGTTGACATGAAGTGAGGAAAAAGTTAACACTATGTGGAGTGAGACAGTGAATTGGGTCAGTGGAAATGCGTGCTGGGAGGTAGAAAATAAAGAAAAACACTCTGTTCTTCGAGACAACTCATTAAATCTAATTAATCCATGGCACAAATTCACTTATTTCTCGTCTTAAAACCAAGTGCGAACGAACGAAGGGAGTTTGCCATCTAGTTTACGCTAAACTAAATCTATTATTTTCTTTAAAAATTCACCTTCTATCACACCCTAAAGCTAATTGGATCGCAGTGTGACACCTTCAGTGTCACTCCAAGGACTGAAAGACGGGAAATTCACCTTTTTTTTCTTGATTAATGAGGGTGAAAAAATGCCATAAAAGTGGACCATTTTGCTATGTGTACAACCTTTCTTTCACCTCAATACTTCCGCTCCAAAAACTCCCGAAAGACGAGCGACGATGTAAATCCCAGGGAAAATCCGGAGTTAGTTGTGAGACGTGAAAGCATGATGAAACAATTCTATTAAAATGTCACTGCCAGGTGATTTTCTATCTTCTTGTGGAGCATTTTTTCGATTTTCCATGCAATTGCCGGAGGAAAATAGCTCGCAGAAAACTGATGCGGGCAACGATTGGTGGAGAAATAAATAAATGTCTTACGTCTAAATCATGGCATCGTTCACAATATCCTCACACACGAGTCCCTTCAACATCTGGGATTTTCATAAATTATCCAACGCCGAAAGCTTCTCGGGTGATCTTGGGGGATGATAAGTGCTCAACTTTTAAAGAGCACGAAGAGTTCAATTTATGGGGTATTGTATGCATTCTTTCCAGGATGCTTCAACACATCCTTGATAAACCGATTATGTGAAGAAGCAATTTCTCCACTCTGATTACGGGAAGAGCGGATTCTGTATGGAAATATAATGGAATTTTTAAAATATATAATGTCTTCACGTTTTTCTTTTATGACCTGATTACTGCGGAAGACGCGTAGATAAGGAGTTTGAATAAAGTATTATGCTATTGTTAAATTCATCCTTTCTACAACTTTTCTGAGTATTAAGTATTTATCTGCCCTTTGGTCGGAGATTGTCGAATAGATGGGTGGATTGTAGTGAGCTTTCTGAAGGAGGTACAAAACTTCTGGTGGAAAATCCCCAAAAGATAGAGTATTTTGGTGAGCTAACAATTGTACAGTCGATACTCACCACTAATCCATGACCCATTGAAAGGTCTCCACTTGAGACGACCACTTAAGATATCCGATATGCTAATCTGGTGCCCTTTGATGCGATTCCCTTCATCCTCTGCAAACAGAGAAAGGACAATTACGCACAAATTAATCTCCAGCAGCCATAACTCAGCGGGTGACTTTGAGGAAAATATTTACAAATCATTGTGCAATATTCAGCGGCACAGATTTCGGCAAATGCCAATTGAAGGGGAAAGATTTGAGGTTGGGGCTGGGAATTGACTGTTTTTCTTTGGCGTCTCCACCCACTCAAATGGCAGGGAAATTGTGACGATAAATCATGTCGCGCGAGGGTGTAGTTTTTTCCCTTCGGCTTTTGGGGTATTTTTTCTGCGTCTACCTCACCATCTTTCTGTGCCATTTTATTATTATTGGCCACTTTTTTCATGGCTCAACATTGATGAGCATCGAGAGTGGAAGGGACAACGATATTTCTTCACTTTTGCCTCGTGAGGCGCCGTAATGAAAGTGCCAAACGAGAGATAAGCAATCAAAAATGAATTATTTTCATGCCATTTATACCAGTACAGAATGGGGATTACTGAGCAAATTCCCTGCAGATTTATTCAATGTGGATTATGAGGAGTGGATTTGAGAGTTAAATTATCATGATTCCGCAGAAGTTTTTGAGAACATCTTCTGACAAAGAGGAAAATTTGTGGCACTGCGCTTCTAGTAATTCTCATGAAAATTAAACCTAATCACAATTTGTTGCTACAAAATAAGCATTTGAATAATTGGCAATTGTGCTCGAGCGCGGGACGAAATTGTAGCTTCAGTTTGCAAACTTTCATCCCAAACTTTCTCCATTGAAGTCATTTAATCCAATTAAAACCTGACACATAAGAGAGTTTTGTCCTATTTCTGCACAATTGCAGTTCCACCAATGGAAATCATTTTTGGAAGACATGGAAAAATTAGGCTATAAAAGTGATTTAATATTTTACAGTTTATTTTATCAATAAAAATTTTCTGTGACGTCTCAAGTTCTCTGAAGTGAGATAATTCATTTACCCTGAATATTCTGAAAGTTGTGATTTTTATTCCAATCAGAAAGCGTTATGGCATCACGTATGGAACCCAGAGAGTAAATATAGCATTTCCACTCGTGTCAATTTACTGAAAATCCTTCCTCTTAGGCGCCATACAGTTTTCCTTGGCCAAAGTTGGGCATTTATGTAGAACTTGTCCGTCTATGTGAGGAGGAAATGTGGTAATGTTTCAGCAAAGGAAACTCTTGGCATCCAGTCTAATAATGGACTGTGTTTATCACACTCTGAAGAAGATAAGCTGAGGTGCTTTCACTTTAATTTTGCGCCACTTAATACGTATTTACGGAAAAGGATAGAATTTCCTGGAAGTTTATTTTCCCTCGTTTAGCTGCACAATTTATGACTTTTTAATTTTCCGGTTCAACTCAAGCCTTTTTCTTCCCTTTTCCATATTAAAATTAACCGTGAGATCTTTTCCCGTGAACCTAATTTATGTACTTCTTGGTGAAACAAACTTCAAATTACTTGAACTTTCGGAAGTGCTCAAGAGAAAAAAGCAGAGAATTTCAAGAAATGTTTCAAATGTCATTACAACGCGGACACTTTGCAAGTTTTCTGCTCACTTTTCTTACTTTAACTGATTGAAGAGAAGATGAAAAGTGTCTGAAAACTCGTCTGTGGACAAAAAATTTGAACTTCACATTTAAATTAGGTCAAAAATTATCACCAATTTGCTTTACAGCTTATAACTTGAACATCAACGTGCAGGCATTTAATTTTAAATGAATTTCTGCATATTATTTGTCAAAATGAGTTCCATTGGCAATACTTTCTCATCCCCTTTATTGATCACTTTATTGTTTTATAAACAATTTATGTGCCATCGAGTTGAGAGGGTGAAGTAAATATTCCCATCGGGGCCAAATTTGCCATTTGCCCTTCCTTGGATCGCTTTTGAATTTTATTCGAGGGCACAACGGAAGCAATTTGAGGAAAAGGGCGACATTGTTTGGGTGTGTTCGCCATTGAAATTGACGTGGAGAGACAAAAAGGGAAGAAATTACATCGATGACTTCCACATAACTTTGTCGTACGTGCACAAGTGCTTGAAATACATATTTTCTCACTTGGAGGAATGCACATTGGCATCTTTATATACTACTATACTGATACAGTCAATTTATCGATTCTCATATATTGCATATCTGAAATACTGGAAGAGTTGATTCAATAAATAATGTCTTGAATTAATGAAGTCGTTTTGTAGAATCGTCGCGTAGGCGCGACATTTACACGGAAGGCTTCGAAGGCGAAAATTTTCCACACTTGAACATGTGCAAACATTTATCTAACTTCCATGTGTGAACTTTGTCAGCACACGAAAGGGTGGAAAATTTGTCGTATTGTCACATGAGAGTCAATGCAAATAAACCACGTGAATTGCGCTGGATTTGTGGAAGGGTTGCAAGGGTCAGAGTTCACCTGGTGAAAGTAGAAAAATGGAGAACACGATGAGTCCCAGAACGGCAGCAATAACCAGCAGGGCGATGAAGATACCGCGCCAATTCCGACGACCTGGCGACGAGGCGACCAATTCCTGCGAAGAGACAGAAAACAGCAAAATATTATCACTCGTTGGCCACTCTGTAAGACATTTGGCGCGCGTGTGGGCGAATATGTCGATGGGTGGATTCGGATGGGGTTGAAAAGGTCACAAAGGGAGTCATGATAAAATTTTCAGAATCACATTTGATATGGGTTTGTCATATTCACGGGCTTTCTCCTCGACCTCCAGAGACCTTCACCAGCGAAAGCAAGAGTTGTGCGCATCGAATGACGATGGAAAAGCATCGAATGAGTGCTCGAAGTCAACATTTGTAGTTGATATTTTGATTTATTGCCAGTCTATTTGCCATCATTGTGTATTTGCACATTTTGAGTGAAGAAAAGTTGGGAAAATGCCTCAGAGTTGATTATATAGCAAGACGTGTTAGGCTTGATTTTCTATATTGAATAAAGAATTTAATCTGACATCTGAAATTTTGCAGAAACCTCAACTCTGATAGCAACCCATCAAAATGTTTAATGCGACGTATAGGAAGAAAATCATCGGCAATATGTACATTCAATTAGTTCCGAATGACTGAAATTCTAAATCATCTCAATGAATTATCTTGCAGATGGATCCCAGACGCTTCCACATGATGTATTCTTGCTTTTCTGTTTACATATCGATTGGTTAGTTATTAATAACGACTACATTTCGAGCCATTTGATCTACCAAACTCTTAACATATCCGGCTCTCTTCCATCCCACCTTTTGCCAATGTTTTTACACGGGTTGAAGAGGATCTATGCATATCTGCCTTTAACAACTTCGCACAACTTGGAGTGTCACTCGGGGCGAGAGTCCACCACACAATTTTCCTCATGATGGGAAATCCCTTAAGCGGATTGGTGGTCAATAGAATTTGAGGAATTGTGGGGCGGCATAATTAACACAGAGATTAATCTCTTGCCATGACCAAAGACATATTGATAAAGTGGGGAATTTAATAAACTATTGCGCCAGAAAATCTATGAAATGCCTGGCAAAGTAGGCGCCAAACAGCGCATTTAAATGAATGTTGAATTACTTTCATCAGTAACATAATTAACCAGATACCAAATTATGCTTCGCATGGCTGGTTGAATTTAATTACGATAGAAATTAAAATCATTATGATTGGATTTGGCAAATCGAAATAGAAGCTTATGAAATTCACATAACCATTAAGAGCACCACAACTGAAAAGCTCATAAAAGCTCTTCTGAAATTCATTGAATTCCGTATTTTCGTTGGGAGTTCATTTGAATATGATTATGTAGTGTGAAGTGAGTGAAAATAAATGTTTGAACAATAATCTCGCAAAGCTAATAGGTACCTAAACTATTTCATTTATTTTTCTGTGGCTTTGCATAATTAAGCTGTCCAAATGCAGAAACAAAGAGCAACTTTTTGAGTTGCCAAATGGTTTTGCAAGTTTAAAACTGCTGATTGTTCTTCAATTGTTTGTTTATTCTTCGCTAAATTGTACGAAATCACGAAGAAATAAAACTTTGATGAGTATTTATCAAATAAATTCAGTATCTCCGTTTATTTACTCACTGAATTATATAGCGCAATACCTGTTATTGACTGCCCATGTGTTGTGGCTTTATTGTTTAAGAAGTTATACCTTATTCCGCGGTGGATACACAATTAATTCATATGTTCTGCACTCATACAAAAGACAATCCCACTGTGAATTGATGATGATTTTCTCATGGGAAATCCAGCAGCTTTCCATTCTTCATCTCGCAATTCTAATCAATTCAACCCCTTTCAGATTTGAATGTAATTTTCACCCAATATTGTGTAACGACAAAGAAATTAATTACCTCCTATTTATCACAACATTCGCAGCCCATTCTCTGATTGAGCATTCGTATTTGCTGGGCTTTTTGCGAGAGCCTCATCAAGGAGCTTAGCGCACCATTACAACTCCCGAGAAGGGTTGGAAGAATGAAAATTGAATTAGTTGTAATTGCCAAAAGCATTAAATATTTAATTAATAACACGCTATATATATCTCAAAACTCCCAGTAGGCTCTGAGTCCGTCAATTTGCCATCCGTCCACTGTAAGAACCCTTCTTAATGCCACACTCGATGGGGTGTTTGAGGGGTGAGCGCGAAAAGTTGCCAAATGTACAAGAGTTACTCAATCAAGCTCACTGTCCCTCTGCCCGTTGGCTCTCCCCCGAGATCCATGGCGGAGAATGAGAGTGCTTATTACTTGTTTGAGCATCTGTGGTTATTTTGGGGAAATAGCGCGCCATCATCACAGAATACGGTGGATTTTTCACGCGGGATAACCGCCCTCATCGCATCCCCTTTTGGGTGAATTTTATAGTACAACCCCAGTGACTATCTCAACGCCATTCTGCTCGCCACTCGTGAGAGCGTAAAACTCTCTCCAGAGACATTATAATGGTTCAACGGGCACTCACATGACGTGGCACATTTATCTACTCTATGAGCACACTTCACTGCCTCGCAGGACATGCTGTAATCATGTGGATAGCCTGAAAAGCCGGCAAGGAAAAATCTAAATGTCACGATTTTCAATTGAATCACGAATCATGATCTACAGTGTGAGTGTGATGCGGTCAATCTGATGAACTCTCGGCAATTCAGTCAATTGTCACGTCATTATTGAATTCCCCATTGACCTCAGCGTCACGCTGAGTGGCGTCTATTTGGACAAATTGGTGGGAAACTCATGGGATTTCACTCATGAAGACCATTGCGATTTTCCGCAAATACTTTATTGATAGTTTTTATTTTGTTTACACAAATTTCATTGCAAGCTTGGTTTGAAACAATGAGCGAATACCCAACACTCAAATTGACACAGTAATTCCTCAATAGCATTCACGCGCGCTGAAAATGTAATTTCAATCCATGGCATAGAACACTGACCGCTGTAAGAAATTCCAATCCATCTTCCTGAAACATTCAATTTATATCCAAATTCCCGGCCTATTTTTAGCTCAACCTGACTGAGAGTGAATTGAAGCACTTGAAAGGGTGCTGCAGAAGCTCTTCAAGGGGATTTTTTGGACCGGAAATTGAGTTAAATTGCGAATGAAAATACGAAGAGACAGCAAAGAAAGTGCCTCGAGGGGCGATTTTACACTTGGCATGAAGAGATTTCATTCTAAGCCTAAACTCCGAAAGGTTTCATTTGCAATTCTGCAGGAGTGATTTGTTTGTGAGTGATGGAAAGTGGGAAATCAGCAGATGGTGTCTCGGTTTTGTCTTTTATTAATAATTAAGGAGCTCGCTGGGATGTGACAGAGGGGATGTCCTGGACTGGAGACGGGGGAATGCGGTTGGTGAGCCTCAAGGCATATTTCTCTTTAAAATTTCCATCATGCTCTCATTTTAGCACTTGAAAATTGAAACCAGTCGAGAATAGTGTGTCACAATTGAATTTCAAGCCACGATCGTTGAGTTTCATTAGAATTTCATTAAAAGAACGCCTCAAGTGTCTGAGAATGAAGACGATGGAAAGAAGAAACGTCAGCAATTTCATACTGTATGGAAAAGTGCGGCTGTGTTATTGCTATTTTTGTCTATTAGACTTTTTACTGCTGCTCCTCGTGCTGCAATTTCCCACACAATTCCTCACACGTCGAGGCATGTCGTCAATTGGATGAATTATGAGGATTTAATTAAATCGTCAGAACCACATACCTAAACACTCTGCAAACCGCCAGACTCATTTCACATCCCGTCTCTTCATGGGCGCCATGATGAGGAGCTCTTATGCCATATTCGAGCGTGTTTATGACAATCAGGATGTTCACATTATATTGAGACACTCCGTGGAAATTGATATTGCTTCCTTTCTCGTTGACACAAAAGCAACGATAAGCGGCGCTCGAGGGTTTGGGCGCCAAGAGGCAGAATCGATCTGTTTTCAAAGAATCTTCCAGTGAGACAAGCGTGAGAAGAATTTAAGGGATTCACGCGCACTTTCCTCCCCGTCAGGGGGAAATAACTTGTCACGAAAATAAACTACCATTAGAAGTCTCTTCCGTTCAGAGTTATAATTGCCAGTCTTTGTAGATGGCAGATTTGCTACATTTTTGGCTTTGTTTCATTGTTATTGCTGACAAGGCGATGTCAAATTTGGCTGCTTTGGAACCGAAAACTCCATTTTAAATCATAAATTTGATATTATGCTATCGATTTTATTCAATTAAAACAAATTTACTTTAGAGCAGCATATACATATTTCAGCAAATATGACGGACAAACATTTCCTTGAACTCTCAAAATTATACTTGTTGGTTTATTCAGGCATATTTGACATCATTAAATAGATTTGACGACTTCTGAGCGGACTGAAAGCAAATTAATTCAAGAGATTTACCCTTTTGAATCACTTTGTGAAGCTCAGAAAATATAAGTTCTCTTAATTTGAGCAAGTTTAACAACCAATAGTTACTCTTTAGAATTCACGTCATTCGCCAAACCATCGTCTTTATTCCAGCCACTCTGGAGGTGTTTTCTCAGCTGATATTTCAATGTTATCTGGACAAATATCTCCCAATGTTTTTCCAACTCTGGGTGAAAGTACACAAGACGCTGACTGGCGTATCACACACTAAAGTCCTTTATCTCTCGATACGTCTACCATGGAGAGCTGCGGGGAAGTTTTTGCGAAATTCTCTGCAATTTCGCCTCGGGAAGAATTTTCCATTCGTGACTTTTGACATTCCATCTCAGCGATTATAAATGTTCCATGTTATTTTTCTTCCCGCACTTTATTCGATTAAAAATTTAATTGGATTTTTAGCTGACTTTTCTATCTCTGTGGATGGTGTAATTTCGCTGTTGATCATCGCTCATCTTTGCGTCTTTTCACGAGGATGGGCGCGCCCTCTCCAGACACCTGCTTATGGCAATTCAGAAAATCCCTGAGGTAATCCAATCTTTATTCGATTTTTATATGATATTGTGAAGGTGTATTACACTCATAAGGAGATGGAATTACGTTAATAGAAATAGAATTTGTGCAGAAGAACTCGCTTTTTCATTCGGATATTTCTCATGAGATTCACTGAAAGTTGAAGATCTTCGAGGGGCTTTATTCGTAAAGTTCTTTCACTTGGGCTTCATGCTACACGTGATGTACAAAGAGAGATGATCTGCCTGTGCAGACGCTGAAAAGTGTGGGAGAAACCCGAGGTGATGTCTTAAATGTGTCATAGAGGTTTTATTTAGGATTTTCCACCCTCGGCAAATATTTTATCTCTTCTCTCGCTTTGAAGTCTTAGTAGGCTTTTAAGATCTTTACCAGGGGAGGAGAGAAAGAGTGTCATCAATGGCATAAAAATTTTTACCTCGTCCTTTCCAATTAGTGTAACCTTCTTTATTGGAGTATTGACGACGACGGTCTCACGTTTGTTGCTCTTCAAATTACTCTTATTCATCTGTTGTGCCATCACCATTTTTTTCCCTCTCTAAAATCTACTCTCGAAAACACATAAAAACAACTACTCTATAGACAAGACACTCTCAACAATTTCTGGCGTATAAGAAAATTGCGCGGAATTTCACTGATCAGTTAGAGTGATAAATCTGAGGAATGATTTGCATGATTCACCACGACACTTTCAGTCATCTGAACATCATGTATTGTCCTCCACGGAATCCATTAAAAGTTTCCAACATCACTGGAGGGAAAGCAATCACCTTACATTCTACTACAATGAAAATTTATTATCTTGCACAAGGAACAATAACACATCTATAAAAGGGTCTTTTGTAAACTTTCTATCAAATTTTCTTATGTGTGTGTTTCTCTCTTTCTCTCTCTTTTATGTCGCGTGAAACATTAACACCGTGCTCTTTGGGGTGAGGTATCAACAAGGAAATAAACTGGGTACAAAAATATCCGTGGTGTGGGAATATAATCTTTGCTCTCAAGCGGATAGATGATAACAAGTGGTCAGAGATGACCCAGACAGAGCGAAAAGCGTTTGAACTTTGCGAATGTTGAACTGGTACTGAGGTTGACGGTTGAGAAATCAGCTTTGCATGGCATCAACGACGCTTCGCTCACGAGATTTTCCGACGCTTTTCCACACCTCCGACGCACTCGCACACAATAAATTTTCCCGCCAAAACTGCCTCCAAATGGAGAGAATTGCGGGAATTTGCGTCAATTACGCGAGTGTCATTAAAAGGCGAGTGGGCAAATTTATGCTCCATGATTAGAAATCATTAATATTTAATAGCTCCTCTCGAGAAACTTTAACCTCTCTCACTCTGTCTCTGGCCTCTTTGCAGCCGAAGCTTTGACGCGCCTCTCGTGGAAAGTTTATGTCAAAGCAGACGAAAGCTCCCTAATATTCAAACCATGAGAAACCTATCAAGCGCCATGGGAGCTTTTCCTCAGTTTTCCAGTGAAAGTTCAACGTCACTTTCACCAAAACGCGACGTCGATGTATAAAAAGCGCTGTCTTGGATGAACTTCCAAGACTTTCCTTTTGTGTTCCCTTCGCAAGCCACACAAAGAAAATACAGCAGCTGGTAAGAAGGTGAGATTCAGCTAGAAAGACATCCTTTCATGACAAGCTGGTCGAGGGTGCAAAGGTGGAAAGAGTTTATCAACCAGAAAATTTATTCACTATTGACTTTATGCGTTCTGCATTCAGAAGTACATATTTCCACAATTGCGGCGAGAGACAACAAGTTTTCATAGTGAGAAAATCACGTAGAATATTTGGTTGAAAGTCTTTCCAAACAATACGAGAATATGTAATTAAATTGTCATCGTGGATTTTAAGATACATACAAATCCATTCAGATATGTAGTAAGTGAGATCCAGCTTGATTCACTTGCGAATTGCAAGCACATCCTGTCTTAGTGTGTTCATAGCAGGAAGAATAACGGAGATTCTTGAGATTTAAAAGAGGACGAGCGTCTCGAGAGGGAAAAAAACACTATATACCCTTCTTGCATCTCATCCATCTTGGATGGATTTTATTATTCACAATACATAGTCAGTCGTCTACATGTTGCAGAGAAATTGAATTCTTCAACCCCAGAGCATCATAGTGAAAACATTTCGCGTAATAAATGGTAGATGGAAAGGTTGAAGAGCAATCTAAACTATATAGTTAAAAATATTTTTCTATACTTCCCATTTATGCGTTTCTTGCGAAAAACTCTACACACACTCTGGGCATATTTTCCTTGTTAAGTAATTCTATTCAAACGCAACATTTCTCTTTTTCCTCGCTGGAGGAATTAATTAGCTGTTGTCATGCAATAAAAGGGCCCTCGTGGAGATATTTTCTTGGAGTAAAAAGCCATGGCGAGCTTTCGGGGGCGATAAAAATAGCGAAAGAAAAATTTCTAATGTAATTAATCTTTGGCTGTTGCTTTTTGCCCTCCGACACGGGAAAGTCCCAATGAAGTCGGGTGCCATTCTTTTCGCGCCGAGAGCTGAGGAATTAGAGGCTCTTGGTGTTTGACGCTTTCCCAGGGGGATTTCCATTGAGCCACTTGTAAGTTATTGCCTGCGATAAACCTGATTCAAGAGGTACCATAAATGGTGGAAGCCTCGATGCGGTTTTCGCCATGAATATCAAATTTCTGATTTGGAGTATGCGAATATCAAATATTCATGCTATTTGAGCGCAGAGTATCTTTGAGATACTTACGAAAAGAGATTTCACAATGTGGAGTGACTTACATAAAGTATGGAAGAATATCTGTGTCAGCGGATTCAGGAAGTTCAGCATTACTGCATTTTCTGCACTACGTTTGACAAATATAAGGAGCCAATTGCAATCAGCAAGTTGTTTACTGATATCATATTGCAATATGTGACTTTTTGCTGAAAATTTGATGCCGTTGCCAAAGAGCGCAGTGAAAAATAGGATTTCAAAAAATTATTGTAGTCTAAAGCGCTTTTGAAATGCAAACAGAATGATGAAATTTTATGAATGTTCATTGTGAGAATGTTTGGCACAAGTGCATGTTTATCTGCATCAAAGATGGAAGTAATAATTTTTCGGTATAATGTTAATCGCGAGGGAAAAGCTCGTTTGTTTATGGATCCCGACTTTCCAGGATGCTGCATATTTCCTGTAAAAATATTATCACTGTCGATGGAGCAGCAGAATAGCTGCAAAATGTTTTAAGCATTCGCAAGGACTGCGCCACCCGAGGCAGCGTGCATCGTTGAACTTGCAGGGAAGCTTCGAAAGCTCCCTGCCCACAAAATTGCATTACTTGCTGTATGTCTGAATAGTAAGAACTGATCATATCTGAGTGTCCCGGATTTTTCCATGGAAGAGGCAATATTCATTAGGTCTCTGTTTAAGATGCTCTTCCTTGAGATGCTGTCTTGCCTGTGGCATTAAACATAATCAACAGAAGGGCCAATCGATGTTGATCTATCCTATTTCTTCGCACACGAGCTACTCTTGAGGCACACAATCAATTCGTTAGTTCTTCAGCAATGTAATTAATAGCGAGTTACGAAGTTTAGGGGAAATCCCTGTCCCGTCTTAACATCATTTCACAGGTCAGAGCCCGACGAAGGGCCACTAAAATGTTTCCTCACAACTTTCAGACTTCGACTGAAAGCCTCACGCGTGCTGAATATCTTATTATGCTCCCTCACTCGCAATCCAATGTCCATCCGAAGCCACATTATTGCTGCAAAATAGAATCAGAAATTCGAATGATTGAACGCCATTGCTTGGAAGCTTGTTTTGCCGCACATTTATCGCCTCACTCTGTTTCACCCTCACTTTGCCAAAGTTTTTCCTCCCGCAAATACACAAAATCACGACCTCTCTTGAGTTAGCAGCGTAGATAAAATTATTAATAATCACCATAACTAGCATCATCAAATGGAAAATCAATATCATTTTCCAATCTATATCGTGTCAGTAGTATATTTTCCACACTTCACTCCAGCGACTCACGTTCTTGGCAGAGATTCAAAAAATCCTCAACCGCCTCTTCCGCCCCGTTTCCTCTGCCTCGGAGGGGATGAGAATGAATTCATACCCACCTCATCGCACGAGACATTCTGTGTGGATACTCGAGCGAGAAGTAATTGCAGAGAAACTTTTACTGATGAGGAACAAAAGGGAAGTAAGAATCAATTGTGTGGGGCGAAGCTTTTGTGCCACTCTCCACCAAGTCGAGTGTGAAGCTCAAACAGCAATTTTCTATTCATTTTCGCACCTTTCACCCGCCAAATTCCATCTAAGCTACAAAGCTCAGATGTGGAGGGAGGACGGCAAACAAGCGTGGGCTAATGTCGAAATGGGATGCGACAAAGTTTCCACTTTGCACGGAGAAATGCCGGGAATTCTAGTTGAAAATCTTGCGTGTCGTTTAAGGAGAATCCGAGAGTGAATATTTTGGGGTTACTTTCTTGTTTTGTTTCTTTTTGTCGTTCCCCCGAGATTGCCAGACAAATGAAGGGTCGTAACAGGGAAATTGCATTTGAATATTGCACATTTGATTATTTTTATGAAAAGACGACTCTCTAGGGGGTTGAAAGTTGCGCTCTGCTTCGCAAAAAGACAAATACATAGCATTCTTTTTTTGAAACTCCTTGGAAGGAAATGGAAAATTTCGAGTGCAATATTGAGTGGCAAGGAATGTTTGTGATTTCCTTGCCAAGATTCATCCCCGCTTGTTCCATAAATTCTACAGATGTAATACTGTCAGCCATCATAGCCTAATCAAAACAGTTCCATCCCTCTTGAAAGTTAGTGTTCACTCACCCTCTTTCAATATGTTTTGTATCATTAGGAGGAGTGAAGAATTTCCTCTATCCTCAACGTTTAGACGGCATTCATTTTGCCGCGATAAAAAGATATGACATCACTAAGCTCAAAGCTCCCGCATGCCCGGGCACTCAATAGTGACATGGTGAAAATTCTGGGCGCTTATCTATCCAACATCCGAGGGTGAGACTGGGCAAAAAAGCAACCAAGAGGGGTCGAAGTGCGTATTGAAGTGATGACCTTCCTTCGTCGCTGAGTTTGTGAAGCGACCCCCGACCCAACACACGCTTTTGCTCCTTCGCCGATGAGTAAGTCAGCAGACGTGGAATAAATTAATTCAGATGGATACACTGCATAGGTTGGGGTGGCTTTAAATTTATGTATCTTGATACACCAGCTGAATAAGTGCCATAATGGGTGTAAGAAACATTTATTGCACTTAATCACACAGCGAAGGGACAAAGTGTTTCTCATTATATCGTGATGAAGTTGAGAAATAAAAACCACCCCCACCGGCAACTTAACGAGCTCAAGCGCCACAGCAGAGAGCCACCAATAAAAATAATCGTGGGATTGTTTGTGTGTGAATACATCCAGTGGAGGCGTCTGGTATTATTTATTGCATGTCCAGCGTGTGTGAGAATTGACCCACTTTTTGTGCCGCCCCGCAGCAACCCTGCTGGGAAATCTGTCTTATGCTAAATATCCCCCATCTGAAGATGACGCACTTCTTTGTACCCAAAAACGCGCCTGAAAAATGTTAATTCACCCCACCCAAAAAGCCCCAAAGGCGATATCCGGTGGAGAAAATGTTGTGCGCCGCGAAACGGAAATAGGCATATTTATAGAGTATGGCGAGCTATTTCTAACTTTCTTTGCCACATAAATTAACAGAATTACATGTGAAGCCCTTGCCAAAGCGACACACCCACAAATTGAGATAGCAGAAACGCTGATTTTTCCAGCTCATGTGAGTGCTCAGCAGAGGGTTTGCCGTAATTAAATTGAACCACCCGGCCAAACGGAAGCGACGTACGCAAAACCAAAACACAGTTTTGGCGTTCCTGACGTCTCACACGCACTCGGCATGGTTTTTCCAGGTCCTCAGCGGGACACCATCAGATCTCTGGTGATGAATTACATTGCGACAAGTTCATAGCTAACGGATTTAATGCTTTATAAAAGCACATCGGGAGATAGCACACCAGCATGACGCCACGGGGAATGTTATTCACGAGTGTT